ATTCACTGATACTGACCACATCGCTATGACTGTAGGTCCTATTATTACCCCTATCTTATGGTGAGAAAACTGGAGTTACATTAATAACTTTCCCCAGGTCATACAGGCATAATTACCACATCTGGAATAGAATCCAGGCATTCAGGTTCCCAAGCCCTTATCCTGAAGTGCCACACTACGCTGTCTCCCATTAAGCAACTATTTTCTAATTCGGGTAGCCAGTGATCTTTGACATCATACTTTAATATGTGATAAATATCTCAAACTCAACATGTCCAAAATTGAGTTTCTAATCTTCCTTCTAATCTTCCATCAAATGTCTGTCAGTCATACTGTGGTGACTTGCATGTTGCTATGATGCTAGACACTTTGCCACCAACATTTCAAATACCAGCAGGGTCACCCCTGGTGGACAGGTTACAGCACAGCTTCCAGAATAAGACAGACTAGGAAGAAGGACCTGGCAGTCTACTTCTGAAAAAATTGGCCAGTGAAAACCCGATGAATAGCAGTGGATCCTTGTTTGGTATAGTGCCAGAAGATGAGCCCCTCAGGTTGGCAGGTGCTCAAAATATGACTGGGGAAGAGCTGCCTCCTCAAAGTAGAGCCGACCTTAATGACATGGATGGAGTCAAGCTCTGGAGACCTTCATTTAGCGATGTGGAATGACTCAAAATAAGAAGAAACACCTGCAAACATCCATTAATAATTGAAATGTGGAATGTACAAAGTACGAATCTAGGAAATTTGGAAGTCTTCAAAAATGAAATGGAACACATAAACATCAATATCCTAGGCATTAGTGAGCTGAAATGGACTATATTGGCCATTTTGAATCAGACAATCATATGGTCTACCATGCTGTGAATGACAAATTAAAGAGGAATAGTGTCACATTCATTGTCAAAAATAACATTTCAAGATCTATCCTGAAGTACAATGCTCTCAGTGATAGGACAATATCCATACACCTACAAGGAAGACCAGTTAATATGATTATATATTCAAACTTATGTACTAATCACTAAGGCCGAAGATAAAGAAATTGAAGATTTTTACCAACTTCTGCAGTCTGAAATTGATCGACCATGCAATCAAGACGCACTGATAATTACTGGCAATTGGAAACAAAGAAGGATTGGTAGTGGGAAAATATGGCCTTGGTGACAGAAACAATGCTGAAGATTGAATGATAGAATTTTGCAAGACCAACAACTTCTTCATCGCAAATACCTTTTTTCAACAACAAAAACAGCAACTATACATGTAGACCAAGCCAAATGGAATACACAGGAATCAAATCGACTACATCTGTGGAAAGAGATGATGGAAAAGTTCAATATCATCAGTCAGAACAAGGTCAGGAGTCAACTGTGGAACAGATGATCAATTGCTCATATGCAAGTTGAAGGTGAAGCAGAAAAAAATTAGAACAAGTCCATGAGAACCAAAATATGACCTTAAGTATATCCCACGTGAATTTAGAGACCATCTCAAGAGTAGATTTGATGCACTGAACACGAATGATGGAGGACCAGATGAGTTGTGGAATGACATCAAGGACATCATACATGAAGAAAGCAAGGGGTAATTGAAAAGACAGGAAAGAAAGAAAGACCAAAATGGATGTCAGAAGAGACTCAGAAAATTGCTCTTGAATGCATAGTAGCTAAAGCGAAAGGAAGAAATGATGAAGTAAAAGAGCTGAACAGACAATTTCAAAGGGTGGCTCAAGAAGACAAAGGAAAGTATTATAATGAAATGTGCAAACACCTAGAGACAGAAAACCAAAAGGGAAGAACACGCTTGGCATTTCTCAAGCTGAAAGAACTGAAGAAAAAATTCAGGCCTGGAATTGCAATATTGAAGGATCCTACAGGGAAAATATTAAACGACCCAGGAAACATCAAAAGAAGATGGAAGGAATACACAGTCACTGTGACAAAAAGAATTGGTCCATGTTCAACCATTTTAGGAGGCAGCATATGAGCAAGAACTAATGGTATTGAAAGAAGAGGTCCAAGCTGCACTGAAGGCACTGGTGAAAAACAAGGCTCCAGGAATTGACCAACTGAGATGTTTCAACAAACGGATGCAGTGCTGCCAGTGCTCACTCATCTATGTTAAGAAATTTTGAAGACAGCTAACTGGCCAACTGACTGGAAAAGATCCATATATGTACCCATTCCAAAGAAAGGTGAGCCAACAGAAATTATCAAACAGTATCATTAATATCACAAAGAAGTAAAATTTTGCTGAAGATCATCAAAAGCAGTTGAAGCAGTACATCAACAGGGAACTGCCTGCAATTAAAGCCCAATTCAGAAGAGGATGTGGAACCAGGGATATCACTACTGATGTCAGATGGATCATGGCTGAAAGCAGAGAATACCAGAAAGATGTTTACCTGTGTTTTATTGACTATGCAAAGGCATTTGACTGTGTGGATCATAATAAATTATGGATAACATTGCAAAGAATGGAAATTCCAGAACACTTAATTGTGCTCATGAGGAACCTGTACTTAGAATAAGAGGCAGGATTTCAAACAGAACAAGGGGATACTACATGGTTTAAAGTCAAGAAAGGTGTATATCAGGGTTGTATCCTTTCATCATACTTATTCAATCTATATCTGAGCAAATAATCTGAGAAGCTGGACTATATGAAGAAGAACATGGCATCAGGATTGGAGGAAGTCTCATTAACAATCTATGATATGCAGATGACACAACCTTGCTTGCTGAAAGTAAGGAAGACTTGAAGCACTTACTGATGAAGATCAAACACCACAGCCTTCAGTATGGATTACATCTCAACATAAAAAAGACAAAAATCCTCACAACTGGACCAATAAGCAACATCATGATAAACAGAGAAAATACTGAAGTTGTCAAGGATTTCATTTTACTTGGATATACAATCAACATTCATGGAAGTAGCAGTCAAGAAATCAAATGACATATTGCATTGGGCAAATCTGCTGCAAAGGCCTCTTTAAAGTGTTAAAAAGCAAAGATGTCACTTTAAGTACTAAGGTGTGCCTGGCCCAAGCCATGGTGTTTTTAATCACCTCATATGCATGAGAAAGTTGGACAACAAATAAGGAAGACCAAAGAAGAATTGATGCCTTTGAATTATGGTGTTGGTGAAGAATATTGAATATACCACAGACTGCCAGAAGAACAAACAAATCTGTCTTGGAAGAAGTATAGCCAGAATGCTCATTAGAAGCAAGGATGCCAAGACTTTGTCTCACATACTTTGGACATGTTATCAGGAAGGACCAGTCCTTAAAGAAGGACCTCACGCTTGGTAAAGCAGAGGGTCAGCAAAAAAGAGGAAGACCCTCAATAAGACGGACTGAGACAATGGCTGCAACAATGGGCTCAAGCATAACAATGACTGTGAGGATGGCACAGGACTTGGCAGTGTTTCATTCCGTTGTACACAGGGTCGCTGAGTCAGAACTGAACAGATGACACATAACAGCAATAACAATCTTCCTTCCCAAACCTGCTTCACCCATAACCTTCCCCATCATTACTGATGAAAATGTCATCCGAATACTTGTATCTGTGGTAGGCAGAGCGATGCAGCTCCGATTTCCCTTCTAGGTACAACTTGCTACCCAGCTTTGGGGAGTACAGCTAGCAGACAAGTCCTTCAGGGTCCACCTCAGCTTCAGAGGGCAGCCTCCCACCACCCCTGAGGTCACATCTTTCTCAGGGCAGACTGCATCCGGCACACTTCAGGGACAGGTGATCAAAAGAGGAGGGGGCATAAAGTGTTGGCCTTTTCTACTTGATGGAGCTCACTCTAAAGGTCAAGGCTCTCTCCAGAACTCCCTGCCAGATGCTTGAGACTTTATAAGCCTGGATTGCATGTTGACTTCTTCCGCTGCCCAGTCCTGCTTCATCCCCTTCCTTTCACAACTGTTGATCCCTAATAACATCTTGTATCCCAAACACTGTCTAGTGTCCAGCATGTGATCCTGGAGAACCCAGCATGAGACACCAGCCATGACTCCTCCCTTTGTCTCACACCCCACGTCCAGTCTGTCAAAATCCATATGGCTCCACTTTCAAAATATCGCCTTAATGTGACCAATAATCACCACCTCCACTGACACCACCCTGCTCCAAACCTCCACATCTCCCACCTGAGTTACTACAATAGCTTTCAGATTGTCTCCATATTCCTCCACACTGCAGCCAATGTAGTCCTTTCAAGATGTAATTCTCCATGTGTCACATCTTGCTTAAAATCTTACCATGGAGCCCCATTTAATTTGGGGTAAAAGTCAGAGTCCTTAACAGCCTACATGGCCTGTCATAACCCGACCCCACTGGCTCTCTCACCTCACTTCCTACTGCTTTCCCCTTCGCTCTCTCCACCCAGGCACCCTGGATTCTGTGCTGTCACTTAAACACTGTGGCGTGCCTTCAAGCCTTTGCTCTAGGTTTCCATCTGCCTGATTCCCTTACCTCTTACCAGCCTTTGATTACATCTCGCCTTCTCAAGGTAACATACAAATTACTTATATACAGGGTTTTTTTGTTTTTGTTTTTTGCCTATATTCCCTTGCTAGGATGTAAACATTGCAAGTGTAGCAATCTGGGTCTATTTACATATTTACTGATAATTCCCAACCACACAGAAACAGTGCCAATAATAAATATCTGTGAATGAATAAATCCTATATTTTATAATTTTATAGTATGGAAAATAAAGTCATCACTTACATCTAATTACCAATCCCTAATAAAATTCAGTGGCTTCCTTGGCAGAGGTATAAAGGAATCAGAAATCCACTGCTAGCATATTTTCCTACTGATCAATTCATTGGAAGAAACAAGAATGTGATAAAGGGATTGTTTGATTGGATAACTGGAGTTATATTTTCTCATGCTGTAAACTATCACACAGATGTGAAAAATCACTTCTGCTTATTTACAAGCTGGGACAACAAGTCACTTTCTACCTTGTTCTCGACTTACCTCAAGCTCCTCAAGGGCACTTCCCAGGGTTGTTGCCTGAGGTTCTGTTGGGGCCGGCATATTCTGGATGCCTTGTGAAGCATTTGAAATCACATTAAGGGCATTCTGAATTTCTTCACAAACTGTGTCCTTGCTGGCTTTGAGGGAAGCAACATCAGAATGCTCCAAACAAGCTGAACAAATTGAATGCAAGAGAGGAGAGTTCTCCTTCAGTGAGGCCCGGGCCCCTGCGATTTCATCCCTCTGGTTTGGAGATTTTAAGTCCTGAGAAGGGAAATAAAAAGAGTGGTTTCTTACCACAGGTAATAGAGGAAAGACATATAAAGAATCTCCACTTTCACTTCAATATAATTGAAAAGATGGGCAATACTAAGAAGTTAGCTATAAGTGAAAACCAAGAGCATCAGTTATTTCTAAACTACTTCAAATTGTTTACAGTTCTACAATACTTTAAACAAGGTGAGCCAATTAGCAAATAAAGGTCACAACGGTGCAGGATGTATAAAAACTGAGTAGATCTTACAGTTGTCAGTCATGTCCTTATAAATCATCAACACACTCTGACATTCACAGTATTAAGTACATTATAAGAGAGCTTGAATTACAAGGATGCTGATCACCTATTTCCATAAATGCTGATAATTGTATCTAACCTTTTCATTAAAACTAAATAAATTGAGTCAAGAACGCTAAATTGAACCTCCCATTACTCTGTTCTTTTTACAATCTTTTTCAGACATGTTTATTAATATATAAATTAATCCTGGATCTGACTTTCTTTAACATTCATTCAACAAATAGTTATTGAGCACTTAGTATATACTAGACCTTGTACTAGACTCTGAGTATACAAATGTGAACAATCCAACAAGGATTTTGTTCTCAAGTTTCTGTTCCAGTTGTGGGGGATGGGGCTTATACAAACAATAAACTAGGAAAACAAATGTGCAAAGCAATTTCAGGTAATGATAGATGCTATAAAGGAAACACAAAACTGAAATATCATAGAGATTGACTTGAGGGGAGAAAGCTGCTGTAGCTTAGGTGGTCAGAGATGGTATTTCTGTGAAGGTGACAGTGGCAGTAAGATCTAAATGAAGAGCATTGCAAACAGATGGAAGAGAAAGTTACAATCCTAAGTGATAGCTGATCAAAACTAGTTCAAGACACAGTGAAGAAACCTGGTAGGTACTACCTTAACCAAGTGATGAAGGTTAGCATCATCAGTGATGTCACATAGATATCATGTACCTCCTGGATAAGAGATGACAAGAGGGCACTTCACCTCTGTAGTCTTCTCTTCAAAAACACATAACCCCAGTCTAATCATGAGAAAAACAACAAACAAGCCCAGATAGGGGAACATCCCCCAGCATATGTAGCCAGTGTTCCTCAAGACTGTTAAGGTCAAGCAAAGACTAATAAACAGTCACAGACCAGATGAGACTGGGAGGAATGATGACTGTGATGGTTAAGATTGTGTGTTGACTTGGCTGGGCCATGATTCTCAATGTTTTAATGTAATCACTCCCATGACTGAATATACTGTCAGTAGCCAATCATACGAAAGGGAGTCTCCTTGGGGGTGTGGCCTGCATCTGAATATAAGCAGATGTTCTGGCTTTTTGCTCTCTCTGGATCCCGTGGCTGCCTCCTGTAGCCTCGTCTCCAGTTCTTGGGACTTGAGCTGTCAGCTTATCTGCCGAACTTGGGATTCGTCAATCTGCACAGCCTGTGAGCGGGAGCCCTGCTCTCCGACCTGCCTATCTTGGGCTTGCCAGCTTCTGCGGCTGTGTGACCGGGGAGAGGCCTCTACCCTGATCCACAGACTTGGGACATTGTAGCCTCTATAATCGAGTGAGCTGTTTCCTTGATATAAATCTATATACATATATATTTATATACTTTACTGGTTTTGCTTCTCTAGAGAACCCAGCCTAAGACATTTTGGTACTGAGAGTGGTTCCAGAGAAACAAAATTGTAAGGATGAGTTTCCTAAATTGGTTCTCAAGTCTGGTTAGTCTTAAAGACATTGATGCCTCTGCTTCTAGCAGGAAAGAGGTCATTGCTAGTCCATGGAACGAGGTGGTGATACAAATATGCAAAATATCACCACCAGCAGATCAGGTATTGGTGAAAGGCAAGGCTCAGGGTGATCACATGTGTGATATCTTTCTACAGCTTTGTCAGAATGAGAAGTATAAGGAAGCTGGTTGGTTTGTCCTACTTTCGCTAGACAAACTGGTGAAGGAAAGACATGCACTCAGGGCTTCAGAGTCAAGGCTCAAGTGCCGCATACATGACCTCAAGGCTTCCACTTGTGCTTTGAAAGAAAGCCTTATTTCTTGTAGTAACAGCTGAAATTGCTGAAAACTAAACCCAGAGTCTTATTGTAAGAGTGGCTGAATTACAACGCCAGTTCAATTGCAAAGCTCGAGAGGTGTCTGAAGTTAAGGTAAGGGCATTGATTGGGAAGAGATGTGATCCTGAGACTTGGGATGGGGACATATGGGCAGATAATCAGGAAGCTGGGGACACTGAGCCCATAAATTCCACTGAATCACTCCTGCCAGCAGAACCAGTCCCACCTGAAGAGATTACTTCATGTTTGTCTGTTAAACCACCCTGCCCAGAAAAACCATTAGCCCCTCCACTCCCGTCTAGTGAGATAGATCTAGCCCAGCTGTCTCTAAAGAGCCCTTGCCTGAGTCATTGCCTGGAGCATCGCCTGAGGCAGATGCTTTACAAGATAATGCTGAATGTTCTCAAAACAATTCCACACTACTGATTCTGTCTTCTAGACCTATAACTAGGCTTAAGTCCCAGTGAGCCCCAAAAGATGAAGTACAAAGTGTGACCCAGGAGGAGGTACGCTACACACCAGAAGAACTACTTGACTTTTCTAATATGTACAAACAGAAACCTGGGGAATATGTGTGGGAATGGCTATTAAGGGTGTGGGATAATTGTGCAAGGAACGTAAAGATGGATCAGTCTGAGTTTACTGATATGGGTCCACTAAGCACAGATTGTTCATTCAATGTTTCAGCTAGAGAAGTTAGGAAAGGATCTAATAGTTTATTTGGTTGGGTTGCTGAAGCATGGATTACGAGGTGGCCAACACTAAATCAAGCTGAAGTACCAGACCTGCCTTGGTATACTGCAGAAGAAGGTATCCAAAGGCTTAGGGAAATTGGCATGCTAGAGTGGATTTATCAAGTTAGACCCACAGACTCACACATGGAGTGTCCAGAGGACACACCTTTTACCACAACTGTGAGGAACAAATTTGTGAAGGGAGCTCCAGTATCCTTGAAGACTGCTGTGATTCCTATTTTATGCAAGTCAGATTTGACAGTGGGAACTGCCCTAACTTAATTAAGACACCTAACTACAATGGGGCTGATTGGACCCCGTGGTAGTAGGGGCCAAGTGGCTGCACTCAATCGACAAAGATAAGGTGGGCGTGGTTACAGTAATGAACAGAGGAGTCAAAGCAGTAATCAGAATAGTCTGACTCGTATGGATTTATGGCGTTGGCTACTTAGACATGGTGTCCGTAGGAGTGAAACAGATAGGAAATCTACTAAATATTTACTTGATCTATACAAACAGATGAATTCTAGGTCAAGTGAACAGCAGTCTAACTCGAATCGCCAGAATAGAGAGGCATGGTCCCTCAATCAATTCCCAGATTTGAGTGAGTTTAAAGACCCACAACCCCTTGAAAGAAGGGGAGACCAGGTTCCCTTGAGGAAGGACTCAAAAACACCGCCAAAAATTTTTACTGTTAATCTTTCTCCCAGCCTTCCCCAAAGGGATCTACGGCCTTTTACGAGAGTGACCATTCATTGGGGAAAAGGAAATAATCAGACTTTTCGGGGATTACTGGATACTGGCTCTGAGCTGACACTAATTCCAGGAGACCCAAAATGTCACTGTGGCCCACCAGTGAGAGTGGGGGCATTATGGAGGTCAGGTTATTAATGGAGTCTTGGCTCATGTCCGTCTCACAGTAGGTCCAGTGGGTCCCTGAACCCATCCTGTAGTGATTTCCCCAGTTCCAGAATGCATAATGGAATAGATATACTCAGCAACTGGCAGAACCCCCACATTGGATCCCTGACAAATACAGTAAGGGCTATTATGGTAGGAAAAGCCAAGTGGAAGCCATTAGAACTGCCCCTACCTGGGAAAATAGTAAACCAAAAGCGATACCGCATTCCTGGAGGGACTGCAGAGATTACTGCCACCATCAAGGACTTGAAGGATGCAGGGGTGGTGATTCTCACCATTCCCATTAAACTTGCCTGTTTGGCCTGTGCAAAAAACAGATGGATCTTGGATAGTGACAGTAGATTATCGAAAACTTAACCAGGTGGTAACTCCAATTGCAGCTGCTGTTCCAGATGTAATTTCACTGCTTGAGCAAATTAATACATCTCCTGGTACCTGGTATGCAGCTATTGATCTGGCTAATGCCTTTTTCTCCATACCTGTTTCAAAGGACCACCAGAAGCAGTTTGCCTTCAGCTTGCAAGGCCAACAATACACCTTCACTTGCCTACCTCAGGGCTACATTAACTCTCCAGCCCTATGTCACAATTTAGTCCGCAGTGACCTTGATCGCCTTTCTCTTCCATAAGACGTCACACTGGTCCATTACACTGATGACATTATGCTGATTGGACCTAGTAAGGAAGAAGTGTCAATGACTCTGGACTTAT